GGTGGAAATATGATGTATCGTGTGGTATTTTTCCCTTTCCCTTTCCCTTTCGCGAGTTCTTAATCTCGTTTGAGATGGTAGAGTAGGTAATTACATATTATGATGAGCTAGTTGTACGTATGTACAAAGTACTCCGTGTGTGCATGCAGGATTAGATTCGGGAAGAAGCGGGTTGGGCTTGTGTTTAGGTGTGCTGGTGGGGAGATATGGAGATGTTTAGATTGGGAGATGGAGATGGAGATGTGCTGTACGTACCTACCTACACTACAGTATGAGGTTTTATAGTCTGAGGTTAGTATAACTATCGATATTGGGAAATAGGGGAAACACATTTCCAAACGAGGCACATGGGCTGCTTGATTGACATCGATTTAAGATATACCGGTAGCAGTACAAATTGAAGGTTCCTTCATATTTGGTACCATGTCGTAGATTAGACACAATTTTGATGAGAGATAGGAACTTTAGGAAGGAATTTGCTCGTACCATGAAAAAGTGGGTAGTTGTAACAAAGTCGTAAACTTACTGTATCAAGGTAACTCCCCTGGTCAAAATTGTAAATGGAGACATCTGAAATAGGTCCACCAGCTTGCTCTATCTTGCATTGATGACGGAATGATTCCACTCCGCTCCATTGGAGAAATCTCGATTGATACTTGAAGTGAGATTAGACAAATTGGGTTGTTGCTAAATTGAGGATGGATGATTGATTAGTAGTTGCGATTCTACATATCGGTCCATCTCAAATATTGGATTCCCCGAGACTCTGTCAAAGGTTCTCATTTAAAAGCCCCGAGTCCAATCATCCCGTAGGAGGTAGTATCAGAAGGCTCTTTACATTCTTCAATCACCTCAAAAGAATCAACTACCACCCCTCACTCTGGACGGAAAAACGGGCACACCAAAGCCGCTAAAATCAAGACTTTCTTCAAAACACTATTAATTCAAAATTCAATAACAATTTGAAATAATATAGTAAATTAAATATAATAAAATTGTATTATAGAATATCAACCTGTAAATAATCTGCTTCAAACAAAAATTAAAAATATCGATTATTGATTTAAAAATGAATTTCGGAAGTGATAACATATTTTTGGTGTGTCCGTTTTTCCGTCCAGAGTGAGCACCCCTTCCTCCCCCCCCTTCTCCTTCTATCCACTCTAGTATCGAATGACACTAATAAACGATGTAGTACCCGACTTGAACCGTGCTTCGTCGATCTCTGAAGGATAGGATAGGGGAGGCAAAATAAGAAGAAAGTCGTAATCAACTCGGGCCGTAAATTGATCCCTTTTAACTTAAAATTACATCAACGAGCAGCCGTGCAAGACTTGGCAGTTGGGTGATCAACGAGAGGACAGGGAATTTTGGGAATGGGCTTTGATTCGTTGAGATGGTCAAAATGGTGAATCGAATCGAGTTTCTTGGTTTGGCTGGTTTAGTCTCTATTCACTTGACATGGGGGTTCGACTTTGGATGCTTCCTCGATGGTACACGAAGGAGAAGCGATCGAGGGGAATTCTCGTTAATAGGAGGTAGGGAAGGGAAGAGTTGAGGATTACAAGGGCACCATGGAAGAATCATTTCTACTGATGGTAAAATACAGAGTACTGAGAGTAGACAAAGAAGATGGTCTGACGTAGAGGTTACCCCTCCACGAACAAATTTTTTTTTAGTATGAGAGCCACACAAGGGGATCAGGAGCCTTAACGATTGGTTCTCACGCTTCTTGGAAAAAGACTAATCATATGATGCAGAAGAAAAGGTTTTCTTTGCTATTTTAATTATTGGCATTCTGTAGTCTCATCTCGAAAGATGGTAACAAACCCATGTAAATCTTGGTAGCTCAGAGGAGTGTTGGTGTGCCCGACGAACCGGTGTGGCTTATATATGCCTTGTGTGATGTTGTATGCACCGCGCCAATTTGGATATTAGTCCGTAAGCACTTGAGAGGAAAGGCATAAGTATATAATAATAGTAGAGTAGGAGAGAGGAGGAATCCAATATTGCGTTCTAATAGAACACGGAGTAATGTCCAAAAGAGCATTGGGTTGGCGGAGTATTCGTGAATGGTTGGCTAATCGAAGAATGGTCGCTCGGGAAATACTTCAAAGTAATAAGAAATGAAGCATCATATACTATACCGGTCGGTACATGTATACATTGTCAGCCCCCTCTCCACATTGTTCAAGGATTTAGATGATGGGTTTTCATGGAGTCCTGGACGAGGGGATGGCTTAAAAAAGTATGGTATCTGAATTACCTACCGTCTTAGAAGATACAAGAGGGTTGCACAACAGCCCAATTCCTGCTTGAGCTAGCAGCTATACATACACACCACAAAGGATCGGGATAATTCCAAGGTTAATAAAGGGTTTTTGGGTGTCTTACTGCGGCTATGAGATAAAATCATTTGTATGTCATGTCGTTGTCGTACCATGAATGTATATTTGTTGAGATTCTTCAATATGGATGAATGCGAGAATCATGAAGCATTGAAAGCATATCGTGAGGTGAGATGGATGAAGAAAGTTCGGTACCGGTACCGTATCTCTCTCTTCCTTTCACATGTGCATCCGTTGAGGCTTGGGAAAGAGACCAAAAGGTATCATAAATTTGATCATATTCTGTCTCTGCTTGAACAAATGGAGCTTTGAACATGAATTGCGAGCGGTTACGAGTGGAAGGGGGTTAGAACTTCGTAGGGAAGGAAAGTAAAAAGGGACCAATTTTTTGGACTCCATTATTTCTTGCATCATGCATCATGTAGATGTTCCTTTTCTATCGATGTTGATTCGTCCTCCTTCCTTCCCGTCCACCTCTCTTCGCCAAGTCCGCAAACGGAAAAGAAGTTTGAAATTGAGTAACTTGATAAGGCAGTAAGAGGCAAACTTGAGAGACGGGAAGAAATCCTTATCTTGATTTTGGCTACGACGAATAGCTTCTTTTTCAACCGTTTTTTTGTTGGATCGCTTTGGGATGAGAAGAACGATGGATATGGTTGAATCTGAATCATTTTGTGCCGCTCTGTAACACTTGGAATTTTTAGCCACATTAGCCACATTAGCCACGGCTTGAGTTAATCAGCCATCCATTACCTAGGTATTCTTTGGAGGTTTTACCAAGGGGGTTGGTCATCCTTGATTAAGATGATTATCTACCAAGGAGGAAGAAGATCAACATGTTATTCGCATGGGACGAAGTGATCATTGGTTATCATAAGGAACTGAATCGAGAAATCCATTTAATTCGGATCTCTTTAGTAACTCTGACTGGTTAAAGGTGGCTTCGAAAGTTCTATCATTTTGTAAGACCTCGTTAGTTGTCTGTCGATATGTGTAGGTAGGTATTATTAGACTTTCGAAGGTTATTCACAATGATACTACAAGATGAAGGGGCATGATGAAGGGGCATTGAATGATTTGACATGAACTGACAATAGACATTGACTCACGTACACATATCCGATAGAATTTTACTCAATTCTCATGCTGAGATAACTAATTCGTAACAAAATCATATTGAATGTCCAACATTTGACTATATTCCATGTTATTCTTCATACACCGGTAGCAACAGGTATCTGTCTCTGTACGGAGAGAGTACAAGCAAGTATCAAACATTTTAAAACAATAACCTTGCAGTATCAACAAACGCCCATCTGGGCACTCAAGCCTTCTTCGACAATTCTACACCGGCGGGGAGAGGAGGAAACTATCATTCCCTTTGTTTCTAGTTATGTCTTCATCGTCAACACTCGACGAGTACCTAGCATTGACTTACGGGGCTTACCTCATCGATGTCACTGTCACTGTCACTGTCACTGTCACTGTCACTGGTTCCAATAATAAGGATGCTATGGATATTAAGCTACTCACAATCATATCAAAGAAACAATCGTCACCAAGCAGAGAAGGACTTTGGATTCGCAAAGACAGATAGATCTATTCTTTGATAGATAGTTATCATTCCTCAATACTACCGTATTGAATCCCAGTTCCAATTCAACCTCTTGATAATTAAGAAGAACCGCCACACGGTACGAGCCTTGAGCCTTATTAGCAGCGAAAGATCTAACTGGTAAGATGAAGATTAAAGAAAGAAAAAGAAGATGTCAACCAACTAGTGTCTATCAATCTAGTACTATTGGGGTACATTTAATCCAATTAACCAATCTAGGTAGGTATTTACCGCTCTCGTTCGATATATTTTATTATTGTTGCCATGGATTTTATTATTGTTGTTCATTCTTCTACTTATTTTTCCTCTTCTGACTTCACTCCAGTTTTTCATCCACTCCACGACTTCACTCCAACCGGGATTCAACACCACAACAGAGGAGAGGAAAGAAAAGAAAAGGACGCTTGGCTCAATATTCTACATCTGGTGATTCTGATCCGAAGTCATATCATAATTTTTTTTAGAAAAGGACTATACGGTACGGTACGGTACGGTAAGAGAGAGAGCACGGACAATCTAATCCATCAATGACTTGGATTCTTTTCTCCACCAGGGGAGGGCACCATCCATCCATCAATTCATCATTAATTCATCTCACACTACTTTATTAAACTTTACCTCACCAAGTTGCAGCAACACCCTTACCACCCTTTTTCTTCTTCTTCTGATTAACTGATTATACGACCAAAGCTAAAGCTAAAATAATCAAACTAAAAAGAGACAGACGACCATTGACCCCAGCCGAAGACGAAACGACCCATTGCCATTACTACTACAACAACCAAGAAAGACCGAATACATTGACCTCATCACTGCCTCCCCTCACCATCTCACCACCTCCCAACAACGAAGAAACAATCAAACACCCTTTCACGACCTTCCCACCTCACTTGCAATAGTATATGATGGCTCGCTCATAATCTTTTACTCCGATTTGATTCACCTGGGGCAAAGATTGCCAGAAACTTGACCACCAAAGATGTCTGCACCCGACGTGCTTTCACAACCACCAGTATCACAACCACAATCACACTACAATGGATTCAACCACAGTTCCAAGAACCTCTGCGGGAAGTACTCCATCTTCGAGTCCAGGTCTATTTAGTCCTTCCCACTTCCATCGTCAACCCGTACCTCTGTCCGACCACGGAACTCCTCATTCGAGTCCTTATTTACACCCTTTGCAGATGCACAAAGTAAAAGAGTAAGTCAATTACTCCCTCCCCTTGCGCAATTCACTTTCCTCAAAGGATCTTCAATTCCTCAATCTGCGGAGCTTATCGTTGGGTATTTACACCTTCTATCACCTTCACATGTCTCGAGGGGTTGTCAACACAACCCATCAATCTACCAAGCCCCGCTACCTCGACGGTCTACTGACTCACTACGTCTTGAAACATTGACTAACTTGTTATTTCTCAAAATTAGAACTCACAAAGCACAAGTCGAACAAGATTTCATTACCGGAAGAAAACTCATAAATCAATATGAGATCATCGATGAAATTGGGAGAGGTGTACATGGAAAAGTTAAATTGGCTCGGAGCCTTGAAACTCAAGATTATGTCGCCATCAAAATCATACAAAGATTTTCAAAGAAAAGAAGACTTGGGAGAGTTACGGTCTCTCCCGAAGACAAAACGAAGAGAGAGATTGCCATTCTCAAGAAAATTCGTCACCCCAATGTCGTCGGCCTATTGGAAGTTATTGATGATCCGGAGTTGAAAAAAATATACATGGTTCTTGAACATGTCGAATTAGGAGAAATAGTGTGGCGTCGGAAGGGAGTTCGCAAGATATCCTTATATGAACGGCGTAGAATCGAAAGAGAAATTAGGGGAGAGGATGATCAGGGAAATGACGAGGCATATTTCGAGACACTTAAACGTCGACGAGAAAGGAAAGAGATGAAGAGGGCAAAACTTCTACAGTATCAAGGAAATGGAGAATTCTGGAGTTTGGAACATGGGGATGATGACGAAAAAGAAGAAGAACGTTCCGAGTTACCACCCCTATCGCGAGCCACCACAAAAGACTCCTTTGTATCCTTGTCCCATACGTCTCTAGTTCGGTCGGCCCCTGGATCTATGAAAAGTTCTCGAGCAACATCTAGAGCACCAACTGCAAGAAGTTCGCGTGCTCCCACTCCTCTACCCGGAGGTGGCGATGTTGACTTTGAGATAGGGCCTTTAGATAGCGATAATGAAGAGGATACCCCCGGCTCATACATTCCACAAGCTTCAGCCATGGCTTTAGAAGGCACAATGTACGGGTCTTACGCGGAGGATCCAATGTATCGAGGAAGATCTCCTAGCATGGCGGATAGTATTATTTCTCACATGTCTTCGGTTGATGACATGACACAACACGATGCTTTCGAAGACGACTTCTCTTATGTCCCATGCTTTACTTTGGATCAAGCTAGGTCGGCCTTCAGAGACACTGTCTTAGGACTGGAGTATTTACACTACGAAGGTATCGTTCACCGAGACATCAAGCCTGCTAATCTATTATGGACAAAGGATCATCGCGTCAAGATATCTGATTTTGGTGTTTCGTATTTCGGTCGACCTATCAGAGAAGGAGAGACAGAAGAGAACATTTCCGAGGCTGACGCAACCGACTTTGATGACGATCTAGAGTTGGCTAAGACTGTTGGGACACCTGCCTTTTTCGCTCCCGAATTATGCTACACAGATCTAGAAATTGAACAGCCAAGAATTACTGAACAAATTGATGTTTGGTCTTTGGGAATCACTCTATACTGCCTAGTATATGCTCGCATTCCATTCATGGCCGAGGATGAATACCAATTGTTCAAGGCTATCGCAAAGGAGGACGTCTATATACCCAGAAAACGATTGAAGGCTGTCGATCCAGGGAATCCAACCTCACACTTTAGCAGAAGGATGGGACCATGGGATGGGCCATATAGGAGTGAGGATGACTTGTCTTACGAGGAAATCGATGATGAGTTATACGATTTGCTCAGAAGAATGTTAATCAAAGACCCTGCCGAGCGGATCAAACTTCGAGAAGTCAAACGACATCCATGGACGATCAAAGGCATCGAGAACATTATTGGATGGCTTGACGATACAGATCCATCACGCAAGACCGCAGGACGTAGGATTGAAGTCGACAAGAGCGAATTGGAACGGGCTGTCGTACCTATTACATTTCTGGAGCGAGCTCGATCGACTTTTAAAAAGACTATAGGCAAGGTCACAAGTGTGATGAGAAATGATAAGGGTGAAGGGTCCCGTAAGAGAGCTACAAGCAATGCTACAAACACAAGTTCAGGTACCGAAAACCACACCCATGCTCCGCCATATACTCCTATTTTGCGCGAGATAGTTCGTCGAGCTAGTCTTCGTGGAGATGAATACTTCTCATCGTTTGGCGATTCTCACAATGATCATCATAAAGAATCAACGGAACACCCTTTGGCCCAAAGTCAAACGGCTAGCCCTGACTCGCTGCAATGCGATCCATTCCAACAGGACTTTTCCCTTTCTTCCCTGGTAGGAAACACTCCCAAACGTTCTGGATCCTCTTTGGCATCATCAAATTTTGATGCGAGACCAGGTCCACCGGAACGCACTATCTCGGGGACGCCGTCGATTGCGACGGTCGTTCATAGAGGCCATTCATATTCGAGATCTGTAAATCACGCATTTTCCGGAAGCCCCACTACAGAAGAATGTCCAAGAACACCAGGTCCTTTCACAGATCATATGGGACAGATATTTGGTGGGCATTTATGGAATCCTAGAGGTCGAGAATCCTTGACGGAGATTGATGAAAGTGCATCATCGAGGGCTAGATCTGCCGACAGGAGTCTTTTCAAAGCCGAAGACAAACATGCATCCGCCATCGTTGGAATGAGTACTGCTGTTGCCCCTGGACTTTTTAAACACCCCCGTCCAACATATTCCTCCGAGAATAGTCCGATTGACGCTTATTTCGACAGGCCAATACCCTCACCCTTGTTTTTCCACCCGCACATTTTCGACAAACATCAGTCGGTTTCGTCAGCATCAACGCCTAATGTTATGAGTACCCAATATGCCGCATCAATCCTTGACGATAGACCTGCCACAGCTAATCGAACCCCGGAAGGGAAAACGCCTGCCCCACGAACATATGGTGCGAGTACCCCTGAATCATTTCAAAGAGCTCAAGAACAACTAGATCGAAGAAGGAAGATGGAAGCAGATGCAAATGCAAAACGCCTTGAATTTCATAGCTCGAAACTCAAGTTGGAAACTGCACCATTGAAAAATTGTCCACCATCACCTGACGATGAGATCTTTGCTCAAAAACAAGAGGAAGCTGCCAGACGTGCTCGGTCATATAGCTCAGTTACCTCGACAAGTATCATATCACCTGGTGACATGAATTTCCCGTCCGATGTTAACTCACCTGTTTCATCAATAGCTCTTGGTTCGAATGAACAATTCTTCCCATCGGTTCCTTCATTGCCTGCTTTAGTATCAGGCTCATCATCCGTCTCTGCTGATCCAGAAGGCGATATGCTTCAAGATCCTGGTAGCTGTCCTTCACAAACCATCTACGATACTTCTGAAACAGTCACGCCACCTGTAATTTCCAAAGAATCATCTGAATCTAAAGCTTCTACAATTTCTGACGATCATGTTGTTATCCATCCCGCCTTGAATCATCCTTATGCAGACACAGATGAAGAGGGATACAACGGTGATGGTGATAACAGTATGAACGCGGACATGGATGATTCAGATAGTGACGAAGGCCTCACAATGATGAGAAAGAAACCAAAGATGAAGCTGGCAGCAGTAGGTAGCCATGGTCGAAGAGGTACAAATGCAAGTGTTGAAAGCACGGATACTGCTAAGAAAATATCGATGGAAGGCTGATATTCTGTCATGTGTGGTGATTCTATAATCATGAATGGTGGGAAACGAAACTCTATGGCGATGTGTTCTTGACATTTGCTATATTTCCTGATGGCCATCCAAAAGTTATTGTGAGGTTAATTTGGAAATCAGAACGTGATCCATCACGAAGAATTAGCAAGCACTATATTTTGATCCCGAAGGACGACTCCTTTTAGCTTAAGACTTGATGAGGTATGAAGCAAGTAATCGAAGTCTGGGCGCAACTCGTTGCGAAATCACAATTGTTTTGTGGGAAGAATTGTAGGCTATGATGGATCATGTTATGATTTCGTGTTATCTTGTTTGCCATTCGAGGAGGGTTATTTGCCCGATGGATCTTTAGGTTCGGAAAATCGATTGAAAGGAGATATTATAAATGGGTGGACTGATGGATGGATAGGATCTGGGCAAAGTTGTGGTTTTAGTTTTTCTTATGATGCTGGCGGATATTTTTAAGCAATGCATATTGAAAGGGATGGGATATTTTTTTGTACCTTTTATTGAAAGAGGAGTTGCGGGCGTGGAAACATTATTGTGGTTTGATGCATTTAAGGGAGTGTGGAGGGAATGTACCTTTGAAGAGAAGTGTGGATTAGATCCATTGGGATGGAGCACGAAATGGATGGTACTCGGATATCGGAAAGGGGAGAGAGGGTGGGCGAACATGGAGAAGGTTGTGAATACTACTTCTTAAGCTGAGAATCTGCTTAATATATATAATCATGGACATTGGGTTGGGATGGGGGAGAGGGAGATGTGAGGATGCGAGGAGGGTTAGTAGGACAGGTTGATATGAGATACCTAGAGATAAGGTGAGAAGAGACGAAATGATATGAATAAGATGAATATACGAGATGAGATGACTTTTGTTTGTATTTGTACAGTATTGTAGTCTAGTATATGATGTATGAATATGAAAGACTAGAAGACCTGATCTTTCCTCATTGGTGTGGGTATGTGATATCCATATTTGTTGTCAAGATAGGCCGAACCGAATGCGACTTTATTAGCTCCGAAAAGCTGTGTTGTTAAAAACGGCGATTTAGCGAACGTACAGATATCACTACATTGATGAGTCTACAAATTTTCGAAACTTGTATGTTCTATCATTATGGTATATCTATCAAATAGACTAGTATATATTCACGATCAAGAATCAATACTTATCCGCTAGTCCAATGCAAATATAAAATCATTCCGAAGCTTTGCGTCCAACGACACACTGGAACGGTGTGTCCACAGCAACTCCATTTGCATTTTCTCCCTCCAAGTCCTCAACAAATTTCATCCCGATACCGGAACCTTTTGTGTTGTAACTATCGATCTTTGCCATGACATCTGCAGTGGTTGCCATGGAGCTCTGTGACCAAAGAGGACGAAGATAATTAGGCCAAGCATAATCAGTACGGGACACGTCTGTGAGGCCTTCTGTTTCGAAAAGAGATTTGAGACCCTCAACCCAACTAATTCAAATTAGCATCTAGGAATCGCATTCATCCACTAATCCGGGGAATTTCTCACCCATACTGGCTGTCTGGCTTGGGTTTATGGAAGGTGTTCGCAAGTCGCTCTGATGCTATAGTTTCTGCACCTTCGTGTGTCACGACGACGTTTGCTGATAGAGGCAGAGGCTCCAGCCATTGTAGATAGCCGCCAGGCTCTACAGATATACATGTTAGATATGACTTGACGTATATTCTACAATAATTTCAACTTACTGACTAGGGATAGCAGCTTTTGCAGCAACGGCTTCGCATCAGGATCGTTGACTATACTTAGCCAAAACCGAGCATTGACAATATCGTACTGCCCCAGAAACTCGGCTGGATACTCTTCAAATCCATCGTGAACATACAGGTGTACATTCTTTGGTCGGAATCCCGGTGCGGGGTACTGGGCATCAGAAATATCAAATCCGTCGATGCGTACAGTCTCGGGTAGCTTGCTGGCTAAGTCACAGGCCCAAATCCTTGATGCCAATTTCGTTAGTAGACATAGCTCAATTGTTGCACCCACATCTGCGATTCGCAATTTTGTCTGATTTGTCGGGATACTTGGGTGCACGAGGTATCCACAGACTTCTTTGATCAAAAAGTGGTTGTAATTCAAGCTACAGGTATCTATTAGCTTCATCAACTCGTGCGGCACCCAAGAGGAAATCTCACCGCATGGAAGATTTGTAATCCCTTTTGAAGATATATTCTCGTTGCTCTTCTGTCGCGGACATCTTTGTATCGGCGTACAAATACTCAACAAGCTTAAGGTAGCTGAAGGAAAAAGAAGAAATGGGACTTCTACAAAGCTTCTGAGGGGGGGATCTCTAATATGAGTAAAACCAATTCTTAGATAAGGCCATGTTAGGCTGAATTCATTCTCGGAGTAGTAGTACATGAGCGGCGTAGTACATGAGTAGCCAGGGAAGTAAGATACGGAAAATATAACCCTCTACCCCCTCACAGACTAATTGTTACCGAGGATTAATTGCATACCCACAGTCTGATATACCCACTTCTTTATGGTGTCATCAGTGACAAACCTACATCCTACATCCATCAAGGGGATTATGCATTGATAATGTAAATCGAGCGAGCTAAATATTAGAAAATAATCACCATGGTTTGCACCTTGCAATGAATGTAAAACTTTCTAATTACTTCGACTTAAGTTTCGCAATCGATAATAATTTGATCTCTTCACCTTTCATTGCCTCCGTCATTATTCCCCTCGCTTTTCAACGCATATTATCTGCTAGTTCTAAGCACTATGCTTCAGCTACTTCTGCCTATTTCATCATTTCTGTTCTTGATTCACTTCGCTAAGAAGATACTCTCATGGACTTCAAACTTCCAGATTGCGAACAAAAGCGGTTTCCCTGTTTATGAATCTCCGTAGGAGAACCTTATTCTATATGAACATGACAGTATTCTTACAGTTTTGCAGAATACACACAGCTGATGTGTGGTGGCTAGCTAGCTATTCCAAGCTTGTTCCAGCATTGAGATGTTTGCCTTCGTCATAGACAAGAGGCTGGCTCTCCCGTAGGCGTTATTCCCAATACATTAAGCGTAACTGGCTGATGCTGTGCTAGTATGAGCTGAGTTTCCCACATTTGGCATGTCGTATTACTCCGTTCAAAGACCTTAACACTGTCAACATTATGCTCTCTTCACCGAACGGAAACACGTTCTGGAATGCAGATCCTGAATCGATCAATCAGATTTTAAGCCATGGAGCTAGGTTCGTAAAGCCGGTGGAGCTCTTTGGCTTCTTTGACATACATGGGCCAAATATGCAGACAGCTATAAACGATGACTGGAGATTTCATCGCGAAATGGTAGCTCCTGCTATTGGATCTCACGCCAACATCAAGATGTGGCGAGCTTCACTTTTTGAGATGAAAAAGTTTACTGATTTGCTGATCTGAAAGAGTTCCAAGGTTACTCTTATCAAAGATTGCATGTCGGAATTAACTCTATACTGTGTTACACAGTCATTCTTTAACCTAGAGTTGACTTTTGAATATTACATGGAAGCTTCTACTGGTAGTGAACAAGTTGAGAGGGCTGGATTCGTCGCAGCTATGCTCACCACTATCGACAAGATGGGAATCATAGATAACTAACCAAGCAAAATTCGAGGCAAGTCATCCTGAAACATACATACTCTCTTCCTTTGAACTTCCTCTGAAGCTTACCCGTGGGGCTTCTAGCACTATCGCCTTTTGAAACCATTCGAGAAGCCGACAGAGTGTATCGTGATTTGTACAGTCACATTGAAGATATGTGCAGAGAAGCATTCATAAAGCATAAGCAAAACCCAACCACCATAAACCTTGTGGTGGCAGAATCCGTGGTTGACAAAATCATTATTTTGTTAAATATAATAAATTTTTTAATCTTTAATATTATATTGAAAAAATGAGTTGTAAAGTATTAATATAATTAACTTTTATACATATCCATGATTAGAAAATTTGCCTTTAAAGGGACTTAGAGAAATTTTCAAAATTTATTGATTTTCAAAAGTTTTAGTCTAAGGCTACAATATTTACAAGTAAAAAAGTTTACTTGTATTGAATTCGATTAATAATCGATTAATAATCGAATGATAATTATAACTATATATATTAGAATTACTTAGTATTCTTATTTAAATAGGATATTCTGTATTGTATAATATAATAATAAAGCTTCTAATTGAAGAATAAATTGAAAGTGAGTAGTAAGATATAAAAGCTTCTTCTCTTTAAACTTTCGGCTAATGCTCTTTGACTTTCCCGCTTGTTCCCCTTTTCCTTCTAGCTCCCTCGCTTGTTTCTCTTTTCTTCCTAGCTTCTATGCTTACTTCTTTTCTCTTCTTAGCTTTTACGCTCGTTTCCTTTTCGTCTACCTATTCTAAAAATCTCTAAGAGCTTTCTTAAGCTTTATTTTCTTTTTTTCTATTATTAAAATGTCAATAATAAACGAGTTCGGATTTGAGCTGATTATATTTATTAATAACAAAGAATATATTTTGTTAGGGATGAAAAATGTTTGAATTCAATAATGTATATATTATATATTTATATAGGAATTTATATTAATATTTTATTTACACATAGGTATTAACTTTACTACTATAGGGAAATATAACAATCGTGAGTAAGTTCATTGTCTATTAAACCCGGTCTTAGGGTATGTAACTGTCGGTTATCTATTAGATACTTTGATCTCTGGGACTATGTCAGATTCTGCCAAGAAAAACGGAAAGGTCACGTTGAAAGAATTCTTAATCGGCAATGTATTTTTCCCCGCCTTTCCAGATAAGAAACTTACTGGAAAGGGGGAAGATGGTAACGAAATTGAAACCCGAGATACAAGTGAGCGAGCGAGCAGTAGGAAATGCGCTAAAGCTTGCGACTAAAGAGAGAACTTCTGATCCATCGACGATGCACTGATTAGACGAGTTCATGAGTTTCATACATAGGGACATTAAGTTGA